CTCTCTGGAGAGCACATGCATCATTTGGCAAAATAAATACATTTTTTCAACAAAATATTTTAAAACTTTTGTGCATAAGTAATACAATCAAGTGAAAAGATGACCTATGGAATGGGAGGAAATATTTGCAAATCATATAATATGATAAAGGAATAAAATCCAGAATACAAAAAGAACTATTAAACTTAGTAATCAGAGAAATAACAATTAAAAATGGTATTGGGACCAGCAAGTAGCATGGTGGTTAAGGTGTAAGAATTCCCACATGGACAACTGTGGTTTGAGTCCTGGACCTGGTGGCTTGCTTTCTCTCTCTCTCTCTCTCTGTGTCTTTCTCTGGCAAACCTCATGTGAAAAATGAATGAATAAATAAATAAATAAATAAATAAATAAATAAATAAATAATTCTTTAAAAAATGGTATAAAGGTTTGAATAGACATTCCTCAAAAAAAAATCTGTAGAAATGGCCAATAAGCATCTGAAAAGATGCTCATTACTATTCATTTGTTATAGGAATAATATTAATAAGGAAAATGCAAATCAAAACTACAATGAGATATCACTTCATGCCCACTAAGATTGCTATAATAAAAAAGGCAGATAATAACACATATTTCTGTAGAAATGTGTTATTTGGTGTTAAGAGTGATCTAAGATTTTGGTTTAAAGCATTTATAGTGACTATAGCAGAATTCAAGGACTAGTGTTAATGGTGCACATAGCATACTACCGAGTTTTGTTGTAACAGTGAGTAAAGGAGAGTGTGGCTTAATATTGTTGATGGCAAATGAAACAGTGTTGTGTCTCACACTAAAAGTTAATGGGGCCCAGTCACTGTGTACTATTGTAGTAATGCAAGTGCCTTGCAGAGTTGAGAGTCTTATGACTCACTGCGGTTGGGATCCCCAGATCAGTCTTGAAAATATGTTGGATGCACATATGGGTGCACTGGAGGGCTGGGGAAATGGGATCTTGACATAATGAGACCCTGTCAAGGGTGTCCTGTTTTTTATCTCTCTTTCTCATGCTAATAAAACAAAATGTTAAGGGAACAAAAGCTGGGTGCAGTGGCCAATGCCTGGAGTCCCAGCTAATCTGGAGGTTGAGGCAGGAAGATCACAAGCTAAGGCCACAGTGGGCAACGTAGTGAGACTCTGAAAGAGGTGGGTGTGGTGGTGCACTACTCAGGAGGCTGAGGCAAGAAAATCATGATGTGCATATGCACGTGCACACACACACACACACACACTTCACACACAGAAAATTAGTGGAACAACCAATGTCATGAAGGAAAAGAAAAGAAAAGAAAACAAAACAAAACACTGGGAAGACTCATCATGATTAAAAGAGACAGAGCAATCATATACAGTATAAACTGGATCTTTGATTGTATCCCTCATATTCACTGATGACACTTTTTGACAACTGGAAAATTTAAATAAAGTTTTTATGTTAGATGATGTTGATATAAAATCAATGTTAATTTTTTAGATGTGATAATGTCATCATGATCTTTCTTCCTTATTATGATCCTTAATTCTTATTTTGAAGTAAATTATTGTATATAGCCTTTAAATGATTTAGTGTAAATTGCATTTGCTTAACTATCTACCTACCACTCTTTATAGATAGAAAAAAATTAGGTGTGGCAAAAATGATAATTTGTGAGTCTATTTGAAGGATAGCAGAGTGTTTATGCTATATTCTTTCAATTGTTCTGTATCAAAACAGAATGGTGGGACCAGCAGTTAGCGTAATGGCTATGTCGCTGGACTCCCATATAGTCGACTGCGTTTTGAGTCCTGGACCTGGTGGCTTAAACTCACGCCGGGTGTGTGTGTGTGTGTGTGTGCCCAAGATCCTGAGAGGAGAATGGAGGAGAAGGGATTGTGGCATGACCATCCCCCTGGGGGGGGATTTCTTGCTTTCTGTCTGTCTGTCTCTCTCTGTCTTTCTGGCGAGCACACGCACCCTATAGCAAAAACCTCTCAAAAAAACAAAACAAAACAAAACAAAAAAACAACAAAAAAAACCCCCAGAATGGGAAATGCAGCAATAACTGGAAGTGAAGCAGAACGATTAAGTGCAGCAATAACTGGAAGTGAAGCAGAACGATTGTGTTTGGTGTAAGGCTGAAGGAAGCAGAGTACAGTGTCTGGCCTTAATATTGTGGTGGAGCAGAAAGTCGTGTCTAGTATGGAGTGAATAGAGCAGAATGTGGCTCAAATGATAATAGTGAGTGTAGTGGAATGCAGTGCCTGGCATTAAAAATGAGTAAAGCAGAATGAGGCATCAAGCATTAATAGTGAAGGGAACAAAATGGTATACCTCAACTAGGGGTGAGTGGCGGAGTATGTGGTGTCTGGCATTAATAGTAAATGAAGCAGAGCATTATATCTAGTGTTAAAAGTAAATTAAGCAGAATGTGAGGTCTAGTGTTAACAGTGAAAGGAATAGAGTGTTATGTTTGTTGTAAGGGTGACTGGAGGATAGTGTCTGGTGTTCATAATGAACAAAGTGGAATGCTGTGGCTAGCGTAAAAGTGAGTGGAACAACTGGGAGATTTGATACGGAGATTTGATAGGATCATGACATGATACAACTGTCTAATATTATTAACAAATAGAGCAAAATGCTATGTTTAGTGTTAATAGTAAATGAAGAAGAATATAGAGTTAATAGTGAATGTGAATGTTAGAAATGTAAGAATCATAGAACCTTAGAAATGTAGAGATCAGATGAGGTGTGCCCAAAAAGGGTTTACATAGCAGGCACGACACTACCATTTTTTTTTTTTTAAACTTCTTTTTCATCCTTTATTCATGATATAGTACACGTGTGTGCACCTGAGAGTGAGTGAGTGACAGAGAGATGAATATCCTCTACAGAGTTTGGTCACACCATGATCCCTTTTATTCCCAGTCCTCTAGCCTGCCAGATCTTGGGCACTTGCATGTGTGGCTAGCATGTTTCAGTATGACTAGGCCAGGAATTCCAACTATGGTTACCATGTGGGATCTGGCTTCTCTAGAACAGTTCATTACCACTGTATCACTGAGCTGACTTTAGGTTGCTATCTTAAGAGGGACCTGCTTGCAAGATGTGTCCGTACTTGGAGCTTGGATTTTGGGAATGTTCCTACATTCTCTAATTGATAAGGATGAACTGGCTGTGCCTAGACTGCTTGTACAACAAATATGGCTTAGGCTGAACATTGCTTTCCTTCTGGGAGTCTGGAATTTTGGTACATGCTAGGCAGAGTGTGCCTATATGACTCTCTCCCAGTGAAAATATTGGGAGGCCAGTTAGTGGCATGGTGGTTAAGGTGGCTTGATCCCATATGGCTGACTGCATGTTTTGAGTCCCAGACCTGGCAGCTTGAAAATTAGGCTGAGTGTATGTGTGTGCATACCCAAAATCCTGAGAGGAAAATGGAGGAGAAGGGATTATAGCCTGGCCATCTCCCCTGGGAGGCACTTTCTTTCTCTTTCTCTCTCTCTTTCTCTCTTTCTCTCTTTCTTTCTTTCTTTCTTTCTTTCTTTCTTTCTTTCTTTCTTTCTTTCTCCTTCCTTCCTTCCTTCCTTCCTTTCTTCCTTCCTTCCTTCCTTTTTTTCTTCCTTTCTCTCTCTCTCTCTCTCTTTCTCCAGTGAGCACATGAGCCCTATAGAAAATTAATAATAATAATAATAATAATAATAATAATAATATTAAATGAATTCTTTAAAAAATTATCTGTTGATTTCTTAGGTCATAATCTTTGGAAGTTCAGGAATGTGGCTGACTGGTCTGCATTCTTTCCCCCTTAGGATCTAACTGCGTATCCTTAATCCATTGCTGTAATAAATCTTAGCTGTGAACACAACTGTGTGCTTATTCCTGTAAGCCTTTATTTATTTATTTTTTTCCTTTTATTTATCTTTTTTTTTATTTCATTTTCTTCCATACATTCAATCACATTATTATTTGTCTTACAAATTGGATATTTCAACAGGTGAACATTTCTCCCTAGTACTGTTGATAAAACTACGAAATATCTTCAACAGATAATACCACACCTCTTTGTGCCATTAATGTCCTGTAAGTCTTTATACCAATCTCTGAATGTAGGTTGGTGTTAGAGAGTCCTGACACAAGGTGTTTACCATTAATGACGAAAGGAGCAGAATGCTGTACTTAGTTCTGCAAGTGGGTGGAAAAGACTGTGACGCTGAGTGTCAGGAGTAAACAAAGCAGATGGCATAATGCTGTGGTGCAGTGGTAACGGTAACTGAGTGTGTGCAAAGGTACCCAGAGTACCTTTGGAGTACCTTTGGAGAAGCTGGTGGGTCTGGGAAAAGGATCATGACATGATACAACTCTCCAAAAGTGCTTCTCTCTCTCTCATGACATTCCTATGCTATCATTGCAAAAAAACAAAAACAAAAAAGAGAGAGAGAGAAAAGAAGTAGTAATAGTAAACAAAGCAGAATACACACACACACACATACACACACACACACACACACACACACACACACTTTGATTTTGTTTGCTGTAGGATGCGTGCTCTGGCCGGAAAGGCAGAGAGAGACAGAAAGTGAGAAATCAACCCCCTGGGGGGGGGGTGGCCATGCCACAATCCCTTCTCCTCCATTCTCCTCTCAGGATTTTGGGCATGCACGCACATGCACCCGGTGTGACTTTTAAGTTGCTGGATCTGAGACTTGAACCATGGGAGACTATGTGGGAGTTCAGCGACGTAATCATTACGCTATCTGCTGGCCTCCAGAATATGTTTTTAATGTTATTAGAGAATGGAGTAGAATGTGGAAATTAGCAACCTTTACAAAATGTAATGTTAATGAATCTGGTGGAAAATTTGCTGGATCAGAATGCTGCATTCTACAAAATGGAGTAGATAAATAGTGACAATTCCTTGTGCTCCTCCTGTCTCAGGTAGGGTAGGGAGATGACTACTCTGTCTCTCCGGGTGTGCTGAGCTCTTGGACAGTAGGCTTACCTTAGGCAGGGATGCTCGGGAGCCAGAGCTCTGGGTAGTCATGGTGAGTACAGTGGTGATGCCTAGACCCACACGGGCTGGTGCAGCATCCATGTTGATCCAGAAGGAAATCCACGAGAGAATGACAATGAGCAGGCTGGGAATATACATCTGGATCAGGTAGTAGCCCATCTGCCGTTCCAGATGGAACCGGGCCTCGATACAGGTAAATTTACCTGCAAGAAATTACAATGAGATAATGTAGCCTGGATAGGAGTAGTGGCTTCAGGGGCAGAACAACCTTGGCTGGAGTCCTGGTTCAGCCTCACACTAGCTATGTCCTTAAGCAAATGTTTTAATCACTCTGTATCTCAGTTTCCTCTTCTATGATAAGCTGGAGATAATAAGAATATCTGCTCGTACGGTTAGTCGCGTGGTTATTGTGAGCATAAGATGAGATGATGCTTATGAAGTGCTCAGCAGTCCTCACACATCACAAATGCTGACGATTGTCACTTGCCATCATCATCATCTTCACCAAGTTGTAGCTAAAACTGGGCCGTAGTGCAGCTTTCTCTTCCCTTCTGCCAGTTTTTTCCTAAAATGTGACTTGATCCTGTTACTTCCTTTTGTAAAACCTCTGTTCCTTCTATTGCTCCTTATAGAAGAAGGAAGTGGCCATTACTTAGAGGAAAAAGGTCAAACTCTTCAGTCAGCTCTTCACAGGCAGCTCTCACCTGTCTTTCTATCTGCTTTCCCTTCCTTCTTCACTCTACTCATGACCCCCTTTACTCCATCCCCTGCCTTGAGCGTGCCCTGTACTTTCACATTTCTGAGGTTTTATCTCGCTAATCCTTTTGCCCAGAATGCCCTTATTCTGTCCCACAGTCTGCAAAAGAAATCCTTCTCCTTGGCAGTTTAAATGTGAAGTTTTCCCCAAGCAGAATGCCTCTTTTTTTCCCTCTGCTCTGATCACATGATTATCAGAGCCTTAGGGGCATAATGTGGTGAGAGAGTGGACAAATCAGGCTTTCTCTCTCTCTGTCTTCTGCACCAGACTGGGCAGCTTGTCTCCTCTCCCTCTGTGTATCCTTGGAACTGGCCTGGGCTCAGTTCCATGGTGGGATCTTGCTTATCCCCTGAATTACTGCCACTAGGGGATTTCCCAGAGCTCCTGATGTAAGCTCCAGTTGACAGGGCCTTGTCCGTCTTTTCTCCTTGTAATTGATAGCCTAGCACAGAGCTCAGCTCTCACATAGATGTATTGAAAAAATGGTGAAGAGCAAATGAGACAATGAATGAGAAAACGCTGTGTACATTCAGGTTGCTTCCCTGTTTTGGCTCTTGTGTATAATACTGCAATGAATGTGGGAGTGCAGATCTCTCTCTGAGACACTGATTCCATTTTCTTTGGACATAGCCAGAAGTGGGATTGCTGGATCATGCAGCAGTACTCAATGGATGGACGATTAAAGAAAATAGAATATCATCCACCTTAGAGAAAGAAAGAAATCTTGCCATTTGCAACAACATGAGTGAAACTGGAGGAGAGTTTGTACTAAGTGAAATGAGCCAGACAAAGAAAGACAAATACTGCATAATCTCTTTTAAATGTGGAGTCAAATTTGTAGAAGCATATATTAGAACGGTGGTTGCCAGGGGCTGAGATGGAGGTGAGTGGGGGGAAATAAGGAGATATTGGTCAAAGGGTACAGAGTTTCAGTTAGGAAGGATAAATAAGTCCTGGAGATCTAAGGTGCAACAGTGTGACTAGAGTGAACAAGAGTACCCTCAGAATCTGTTAAAAGGGTAGATCTTAAGTGTTCTTTTCAGACACACACAAACTCACATACACAGAGTGGTCAGTACTTGAGATGAAGAACATGCTAATTAGATTAATTGTGGTGATTATTTTACAATGTATATGTTTATCAAAACATCATGTTATACACCTTCAATACATACAATTTGTCAATTATACCTCAAGAAAGCTGAAAAGAAGAGAAAATGTATAAATAATAAAGAGCTGTGGTACATGAAGGTTCACCTGTGCTGATTTGATTCGCGGAGAGATACTGTTCTCATGGCTGTTAATGGGAGTACCATTACCTTTTTGAGACTCAACTTGCCCAGGATGAAGTGAATTTCTTTGGGGATTCTGAGACACCTCTGAGGTGACCCAGAAAGGGACATCTCCAGATAGAACAGAGCCCAGGATGTCTGCCCTTTCACTGGGCTTCCCACTTGCTCTTGAGCCCATAAGGGTTTCTTTGATGGCTTTTTGGTCCTTTGCTTCCTCCTTTCCTTGGCCTGCCACCAGCCTAGTGCAAACCTTTACTCAGCTGGTTCTTACCCAGCCTTCCAGCTGGCATGTCAGCTGACTGCCTTTCTTCCACAGTGTTTCTATGAACTTGCCTTTCTTCCATAGTGCTTCTATGAACTTGTTCCCAGCCTGCGATAGGGCATGGAAAACAGTCTTGATCCCACCTCAGTTCATTCATGAATCCAACCTTCCAATAAAGGCTGTGCTGGGTATGGGAGAAAGAGAACTGAGCTGAATGGCTGTGGTTTCTTGGCCCTTGTACAATTCTTGGACTAGTGAACCCTTTTCAACTGTTTACTAATCCACAGTGTCACCTCTCAGCTCCCTCTTGCTGAGGTCTAACAGTAGTATTCACTAAAATTTTTGGCCTATCAGAAATGCCAGTTCTTCAGTGACAGAGACTGTGAGGTGACCTCCCTATATCAGTTTTTTTTCTGTTCTTTCCTAAGACTAAGACCCATTCTGTTACCTGGAATAAAGATTGTATTTACAACCTCCCTTGTAATGAGATGTTTCTGAAGCTTAAATTACTCAACCCAGGACTCACATAAAGAAAATGCCAGAGTCACTTTTTGGTCCCAAAACTCCTTCTCTTAACCACTGTGTAGCATATATAGAGCTGTGCCCATCATGGGTCCTTCATAAATTCTGTTGCACCAATGAGTGGTGTTTGACATGTCCTCCAGTCCTGGTAGAGGGCTTCTCATACTTACCTGTGTTGTAATGCTTGGTGCAGTATCTCAAGTCCTTCTCTTCCTTCAGAATAAACTGGGGCAGGGTTAATCCATCAGCAACCTGCACAGCTCCCTGCTCCTGCCACTCAAAGATGAGGTCATTCATGGTATATCCAACTGGGATGGGAGCGGAAGAAGGAGCAGTCATCACTCAGAGCACTTGTTTGAAGTCAGGGTTGGCTAGGGTTCGAGACTGAGGGAGGCATCAGACACTTGCCAAACTCATGAGACCATGTTGCTTCCCCTCCCCGTCACACACAAAGGAGGTTAATACTGGTTTAATCATTTACTCAGTGCTCTACTACCTCCCTCCTGTCCTCTGCATCTTGCCTTAGCTTGTCCTTTTGTCCCATTTCTCATTCCACAGTGAAATGGAGTGACATCTGATATTTGTGCCTGCACACATCCTAGCCAGCTCCCATTGTGCTCACAGTACAGTATTTTTTTTTTTTTCTTCAGCAAAACTCTGTTGCATGTTACCTTGTTGGGACTAACCATTGGGCAGATGGACAAGTATGAAATAGGGACTCAAGCTAGTCCAATTGGCCTCTCTGCCCCAGGACTCTCAGAATTGGTTGTTCCTATTTCCCCTTAGATGAAGTATGCCAAGAAAATGGACCATTAGTTCCTGCTGCCTAAATATTTTGCCCTGGTTCCTATACCTTGAAGTTAGACTGGTCGCTGTCTTTGCAGTCAAACAACTCAACTATTTCACCTGATAAAATGCTTGTCCTGGGGCCAGCAGGTTGTGTGGTGGTTAAGGCACTGGATTCCCACATGGTCAACTGCGATTTGAGTCCTAGACTCAGTAGCTTGAAACTCACAGCATGTGTGTGTGTGCGTGCCCAAAATCTCAGGAAGAGAATAGAGGATAAAGGATTGGGTTGTAGCCATCCTCCTGGGGGGATGATTTCTCACTTTCCCTTTCACTATCTATTTCTCTCTCTCTGGCAAGTGCGTGTGCCCTGTGGCAAAAACCTTAAAAAAAAGCTCATCCTCCAAAAAGCTTTCTCCCACACCCTCTCTCCTTTCCCATAAGAAGGAAGCACTCCTTCTGCTATGAGGCTGTAGTGTTTTGTATTTCTAATAGCACACTTACCACTTGCAGCCGTTTTTTTTCAGTCATTTGTGTTGCCAGTTGTCTAGCTCCTCTGCTGGAATGAGTGTCCCCGTGAGTTCAAGGACCATGACTTATTCAAGCTATTTCTCTGTTCCTAGCGAGCACATTCACAAGGGACATGGAACAATGTCTTTTGGAGAATGCTGCTGGCTCCAAAGCTGGGGCCTCAGTCAGACAATGTAAGGGGAGTTATATCTCTAATGAACTTCCTAAAAGCAAAGCTCTTCTAATCTCCAGTGGTTAGGAACAGCTGTGTGGGAATTTTTGCCAGTCCTATGGGTAAATGGGAACCTGATTCTTTCTAGAGGACTCATGCAAGGGACTCACAGCTTTCCAGTTGCATAATACATGTCTGGACGTCCATGGGGAAATTCTTCAAGTCCATGGGGCAGGCCAGAGTTAGGGTGATTCTGGGAAGAGAAGAGAGTTGAATGATTCTGGGAAGAGAAGGGAGTTGAATGATGCTGGGAAGAGAAGGGAGTTGAATGATACTGGGAAGAGAAGGGAGTTGAATGATACTGGTTGCACAAATCAGGGCGGCCATGCCTCTATTCTAGTTAACTAACAGAAAACCAGTTATCCAGAAATGGGAAAGGAGGTTGAAACACTAATATTTATTGAATAAATATATACATATTTCTATGTTCCTGATATGGAAATGGAGGCACAGAGAGCTAAAGTGTGTCAGCTAAAGTCATAGTGTCAGTGGAGTTTCTTTCTGGCTTCTATAAAACTGTCTTTAGCAAGTTACCTAGAGGTCAGAGGTTCTATCCCATTCCTATTCTCCTGTAGAGCCCTAGTGGGGAAAGAGCCCAAAGTTTAAGCTGAGTAGGTAGGCCTCAAACCTACCCAGCTGCACTTGCAGCAGGTGCTACAAATGGTTCTTGGCTGCTTTCCTTCATGCATTAGACTCATCAAAAGTTATTTCAAAGAGGCTCCCTGCCTTCTGGGTGTCCAAATACAGCTGACTCACATCTGTAGGCTCATGCTGGGGTCAGTCAAAAAGTAGCAGGCACCCCAGGATTCTGAGCTAGTTGTTTATTTTGGATTGCTCAACCCTTGTAGAGGCTGCAGACTCAGAACCAGAGGGAGTCACTTCAACAGAATCTGAGGCCTGCAGCTTGGGTTGGGATACAAGACTTCAACTTGAAAGGCTTTGGGAACATCTGAGCACCTGCTGCAGATAACAGAGAAGAAAGGCTCTCAGAACTTGAAGAGCCTTAGATTCTTAGGCCAACTCCCTCATCTGACAGGTGAGAAAACTGAGGTGCAGAGAAGGCTAGTTTGGGATTTGCCTGAGGACACAAAGCAAGCTAATGGCTCAGCTGGGAATCAAAACCATGTCTCCTGGCCTGTGGATTCTGAGTTCTAGTGCAGTTGGCCCATGTGTTTGCTGGCAGCCTTTCAGATAACAGCCATACTATTATCTTGAAAAGCCAACCCTTACCCTAAGGCACCTGACCGGTGGTGCTCTGGTTCATCTTAGCTGCTGCCTCTTGGCGGCACACAGAAAGGCACACAGCTATACCCACAGCTCTGGTGCAAGCTCTTTTCAGCACAGTGGAAGCAAGAGGATAAAAGGGAAGGGCAAGGGAGGGGAAGCCGAGGAAAAAGAAAGGAATTGTAGTAGGAGAACCGTGAGGGGAAAGTAAACACAATTGAATTTCTGAAGATAAAAGCTCCAAAATGGGGCAGCTGTCACATTGGGTTAATTTCCTGAAATTAAATGACCTTGGGAACATTACTTTCTGCTGATTTGTCCTTCTGTCATTTTGCACCAAGACTTAGCTTCCTGGAGATATGAAGCTAGTCTGGCAGCAGCAAAATTCAAACAGGATAACCCTCCCCTCCTGCCAGCCAGCCAGGCCTCAGTGGCCATTTCCTAAGTCATCACTCTTCCAGTCTGAATGTGTACTTGGTGGAGTGGGGTCTGGCATGAGGAAGGCCACCTGCACTCCTGATTCCTCGAAGCCTGCTCCTGGGCAGTGAAGTTTCTAAGGCCCCTCAGCCTGCTCTCAGAGGGGCCTCAGCTCAGACACATCTGCGAGTTAGGCCTTATAGAGTTTCCCCCATGGTTATGGTTACTTAACCCTCCTAATGGGAGCAAGTTTTATTATACTGAGGAACTAGAGGTTGAAAGGGGGATAATTTATTGGGTCTTCAGAAAAATCGGGATGCATTTTGCATAGAAAAACATGTCCTAACTTTCCCGATGACCTAATAGAACTGGTTTAGCTCTTTAAAAATAAAAGGACAGTCATTTAGTCATCATTTATTTGAGTTCCTATTGAATACCATGCACTGTTCTGGTCTTTGAGAGGTGTCAGATCTACACTAACATGAATTAAAGTTTAGGCTCTACTAACAGTGGAAATTTTGGCAAGTTACTTAAATGTTCAGGTCCTCACTTGTCTAATCTACAAAATGGACATAATAAAACTTTATGGGGTTGTTAGGATTAGATAAATAACAATTTTCCCACACTGTGAGTAATCCTCAATGATTGGTAGCTGTGTAAGGTCATTTCTTCACTTCTTGGATTTGTCTGTTTTGCCTGTGCCTTGGGAAGGATATATTAGAGGCTAGGTGGGAAGAGGGTCAGGAGACTCTGGAAGCTTTGCCCCAATAAGGTATCTGAAGGACACTTCATGGCCAGGAAAGGGGCTCCTACCTAAGAGACTCAATAGATACGAGGGACAGAGTTATAGAAGGGGTGAAGCAACCCTGGCTTATACTTGTGAGCAATACTATCTACTAGGCAGATCCATTTGTTTTGAAAGTGAGGTGATTCTCCAAGGTTTGTGTCTTTGCTTCTGCTATTGATCATCATACTATCTTGTTTTATCGCAATGCTGGACAACTTAAGCCCCGCCTTCTGTAAGATGTCTTTTCTGCTCTTCTTGGTTATAATGAACTACCTAAAACTCATCATGGCATTTTATTCTTACTTGCCGGGTATAAATGATACAGCTGGGTCTGTCTATTCTGCAAAGGTGTAAGGTTGCCAGGGCCTGGTTCTGTTTGCCCCCTCCTCTTAGTGTCTGTGCCCAGAAGGCAGTGGGGCAAGGCATGTTCAGAGAAGGGAGTGGATGAACCTGCACAGAACTCACCTGATGCTGTAGAGGACATTCCCATTCCGAGAGATCCTCAGCAGTTTGTTGTCTGTGGTGATCTCATGGAAATGAGCCCCCTTCTCATTGGCGAAGAACAGGTCAGGTTTCCAGATGGAATCCAGCATGGATGGGTCCAGGTCCAGAGAGTCATCGGGGTATTCGTTATAGGCCAGACGTGGGTCATTCCACTGCTGCCGCAGGAAGATATTGACCCTATAATCCTATAGCCAGGAGATGAAGAGGTGCAGGAAAGCTTATGACTGGCATGCCAACTCTTGGAGGACCCAGGTGCTTTTAGCCAGTGCTCCCCAAATAAAGTCCTCCTTTTATTATCAATCCCAATAGTACAGTAATTTTTATGTACACTAAGGTTGGAGAGTCACCAATCTCAGACTAAGAGGAAAGACTAAAAGTTGAAGTCTGTGCATTCAAGTTGAGCAGCCTAAAGAACAATTAATTCCCAAGCAGTGAAGGCAGGATGGGGGAAAAATACCATAGTGTTCCTGCTGGCCCTAGAGTTCCTACTACTCTGTTTTAATACCAGCTTTCCATTGCTTTCTGTGATGTGTATTGATTTGTATGAGAAGGTTTAATTGATGCCGTGGAATCACATCTTACTGATCCCTAAACTCAATGCTTAATAAATGTTTCTCTGGTAGAATGTGTAGTTATTCTACTGGAAAAATAATTCATAGATCAAATCAGTTAGAGAAATGTTAGAATAAATTAAATGCAACAGGTTTCTTTATTGCAAGACTTCTCAGATACCTTAAAATGTTAATGACTTTTGGGGCCAGCAAGTGGCATGGTGGTTAAGGGCAGTGGATTCCTACATGATCGACTGTGGTTCGAGTACCAGACCTGGTGGCTTGCTTCCTCACTTTCCCTCTCTCTTACTCTGTCCCTCTCTGGTCAAATTGAAATAAATAAATAAATAAATAAATAAAATTAAATAAAGTAATTCTTTAAAAAATGTTAATGACTCGTGTGCATGTTTAAGAAAGTGAAAGGGTATATAATATTTCTTGGTTTGTTTTGGCTACAGAACTCTTTATTTTGTGTATAATGTATGTCTTCTACAGAACATAGGTTAGAGATTGCCATCCTACACAAAACTCTACCCCTATGCCCCACCTCTTTTTCCCCTCCTTTTTCCAGATGAAAAAATTAAAGTCTAGAGAGAATCTGGACTTGGGCTACTCTGAAAATGCAGGAGCAGAGCTGATTCTAGAAACCAAATGCTGATTCCTAGCTGAGTCTGTTCAGTCACCCCTGCTCATCCTAGGGGAACTAAAGGAGTCCATTTAGTTTCCATTCACAACCTGAGGAGCAATGAGTGATATGAGCAGGTCTCAATGGCAAGAAATTGGGTAATACAGTTAAGAAAATATTTCCATTAAGGAAAGGCTTTAATTTTGTTGGAGAGGCATTGTAAACTTGGGATCTTTGCATATTATGACATTGCAGGTAGAACATGGGGTATTGTCGTGTTTTACAAAGAAGGACAATGTAGCTCTTTGTGTTAGATTCCCAAAAGGGTCTGTGGTTTCCTAACAGATGAATAACTTCAGTTCAAATTCAACTTTAAATCAACTTTAAATGCTCTCCTTCAAGGAATAATCTCCACACCTGAGATCCTACTATTGTGCGTTCCTGAGGATGCTGGATAATGAGGTCATGGTGTATTTGCCTTTTTTAAAAAATAATTATTTATTTTATTTATTCATTCATTCATTTTTTAATTTTACCAGAGAGAGACAGAGGTGGAGAATGAGAGAGAGAGGAAGTGAGAAAGCAAGCCACCAGATTCAGGACTCGAACCCTGGTCGGCCATGTGGGAGTGTCCAGCGCCTTAACCACCACGCCACCTGCTGGTCCCCATGCTGTATTTGCTTTTGAAGTACTGCTTCTAAAACCATATCAGTCTTTCTGGGGAGAGGTGGGTAGAGGCTGAGCATGTGTATGCACATGAGTGAGACAGAGTGAGAGAAAGAAGGCACCCTTAACAGGACTTGTTCATCCTACCGTTGTTTTTTCCTCCCCTTTTCCATCCCATGAAGGTCCTGGCCATGATCACACATGCCTGACATATTTTTTCAGCAGCTGAAGCTGGAGTTTAAACTGTGGTTGGCCATGTGGGATCCGGCTCCCTTTGCACAGCTCTTAACCACTGTGCTACTGGCCTGTCTTCCTTATCAGTCTTATCTGTCATCAGCAGGGGTGAACTAAACCAGCTTTCCTCCTCACTCCCACCCTCACGCTGGCTTGGTTCCTCTGCAGCACATGCCTCCTTCTGTTTGCCTATAGAAATATCAACAGCTTCAGAAAACGATCCAAGATATTTTATAAGATTGTTCTATAATTTAATTGTCGCTTCTCTCTACAGTCCCTTCGAAGATGACATTTAGGCTCATAATCTCATGTCTTATAAGTCCCCTGGTGGAGGGAGGACTTAAGGATGCTAGTTTTTTGTTTTTGCTGCTGATGGCAATAGACTGCTCCCAATCTGGCCCCATCTGATCAGGTGTTAAAAATCAGCTCTTAAGAACCAGCAGTTAGCATAATGGCTATGTCGCTGGACTCCCACATAGCTGACCGCGGTTCGAGTCCCGGACCTGGTGGCTTAAACTCACGCAGGGCGTGTGTGTGTGCATGCGTGCCCAGGATCCTGAGAGGAGAATGGAGGAGAAGGGATTGCGGTGTGACCATCCCCCCTGGGGGGTGATTTCTCGCTTTCTGTCTCTATGTCTCTCTCTGTCTGTCTGGTGAGCGCACGTGCCCCCTATAGCAAAAATCTCTCAAAAAAAAAAAATTAACTCTTTCTCCCTTGGATTTTACATGAAGAGAGTGTGTGTGTGTGTGTGTGTGTGTGTGTGTGTGTGTGTGTGTGTGGTGTGTCTTTTGAGAAGGCAGTGGGCAGGTCACATCAGAGTGAATAGACGACAAACGGTTGGGCAGGAAAAGCTTTCAGTCCCCAAGCCCTTGCTGCACTTTTGATGTTCTTGCCAATGACTTGTCAAGCCCGTTTTGTGGCTGGGAGGAAGAAAAGAAAGTGGCATTTCTTAAAATGGTCTGTTAGGCACCAGGCGCTGTTCTAGATACTGTCACATACATTTAATCCTCACAAACCCCTGTAAGCTAGACACTCAGATTCCCACAGTGAGGGTAAGGAAACAGATTTGGAAAGACTGAGAAATGTATCTGAGGCACAGGGTGAGTGAGTGGCAGAGCCAGGGCAAGATCTTCTTTAGCCTGCCCTCTAGTGAGTGCTCATGGGTTTTGCCACAAAGGCGTGAAGAGCCAATTCTATGTGGGGATACCCTTTCGCATCCTCATTGCAGAGGCAAAATCTGCCTGCTCAGGTAAGTCTGATCTCCTGCAGGACCTTTGATGACCCCAGGCTTCTTTGACCTCTTCCTTTCTGACCTTCTAGCAAGACTGAATCACTAGAAACATTTAACTGTGCTTCCTTACTGTGTGTGCCTTATCTCCTCAACTCTATTGGGGGCTATTGCAGGGATAAGTCAGACCTTATATTTCTTCTGCACTATTCCACAGACTGCACACTCAGTATACCTATGAACGGCTCAATACCCAGAAAAAGAAGAGGATGTAAAGTCAGGAAAAGGTGGAACAGAATGGGCTGTCTTTATTTTACAGTTGTGACCCAGAGGGGGAAGGTATTTCCTAAGGTTTTTTGGCAGTTTAGAGAAGGACCTGGGATTAGAACCTAGCTTGGCTTCTTTGGGCCTCACTTGTAAAAGAAGTTATGCTAGATCGTTTCTAAGAACCCTTCCAAATCTGACTGTTAATTGTTGCTAGTTTTATTTTGTCCAATATTTAACTGAGCATCTACTAAGTGCCAGACATTTTTCTCTCTTTCTTTCTCTCTCTCTTCTTTCCTTCATTTCTTCCTTCCTTCCTTCTTTCCTTCCTCTTTCCTTCCCTCTCTCCCTCCCTTCCTCCTTCCCTCCCTCTCTTTCCTCCCTCCCTCCCTCTCTCTCTCTCTTCCTTCCTTCCTTCCTTCCTTCTTTCCTTTTAATTCACTATAGGGTTCTCACACTCGCCAGCGAGAGAGATAGGAAAGAGGGAATGTGGGAAATCACCCCTCAGTGGGGAATGGCCATACTGCAGTTCTTCTCCATTCTCATCTTGAGATTTTGGGCATACATGCACATGTGCCTGGCATGTTTTTCAGTTTGACAGGTCTGGGATGTAGGATGTGGGATCTAGCTGCTCCAACCACCACACTGTCTGGTCTCCAGACACTTTTCTAGTTATTGATAATAAGGAAGATATATTTGTCACAAAGCCTACAGTATAATGTATACCCTACCGAGATAAGGACTTTAACAGGGGTTAATTAAGTACAGGGTGCCAGGGAAATGTAGAAGACAGTTTCTCCATCTAGACTTGAATGTGGTGATCAGGTAAGTCTCCAGTCAAAACTGATACTTAAGGTATGGTGATCTCAACTGGGCTGGACTGAGGTGTATATCATGCTGGCTAAAGTCTCTTCACAAGTATAGTAACTTAATGTATAAATAATAATACAAAATATATACATTTAAAAAAACTGATACTTAAGATGAGGCCAAATATGATTGAGGTAAAGATGAAGAACATTTTGGGCAGTTGTAAGTGCATCTGTGAAAGCCTAGCGGCAATGTGAGAGTGTGGCACTTTAGAGAGAATAGCTAGTAAATGAGAGGAGGGAAGAATGGATTCAGGATCTTGCAAGGCATATGAGGAATTTGGGCTTCATCCTGATAGCCATGTGGAACCTTGAAAAATTTTAAGTAGGTATGGACATCATTATATTTGAATTTTATCTCTGACATTTAATACCTGTTGACTGTAAAAGATCTAAATGTACATCATCTACAGGAGAAAAAAAAAACCCTGTAGGATCTCATTGTGGAATGACCAATAAAAAGTTATTGCAAGAGACCTGGAGAATGGAGCTGTGTCCTCGGGCAGCTCGGTTCCTTCTTGCATGCTCTCTGCAGCTGCTACCCAAGTAAGTTGCTGCTATTGATTTTTTTCTCTCCCTACTTGGTAAACAGCAGTGGAAAACGCAGTTGGGAAGAGATCAATATAATTGGTGTAATAGGCTGAAAGCTAAATGCTGTTTTGCTTACTTAGCCCTATACTTATGTTGGTTAGTGTTTGACATGCTAGGGGTCCATGTTCAAGTTCAAGGGCCAGAGAAACAACATTT